CAAACTCTATAAATGCTGTAATTCTCCGCTGACTGCAACCCACACCGAGCGCTGCGGTTAGCCACCCAGGCCAGGCTACAGCGTGATAACAGGCAGCGATATGGCGTCGTAATTGCTGGCCTGAGTGCTGTTGGAGGGAGTTTTCAGCAGGTTTCGGTCTCACTTTCGCTCCATTTAAAAGCCTTTGAAGTTGGGCTTTTTTATCTGCTTTCGCTCCTGATGGCTGTTGTCTTTTGGTGCTGGGTGCTGCGTGTGCGCCCCTGCTCTTTGAGAGCTCCCCAACACGCAACAAAGGCAAAGGGCCCTTGGAGAGAGAGAACGAGAAGCGGCGAAGGGGGAGCGCTCTCGCCTATGTTTTCACAGAAATCCACAAACGCACCGGTTCCAAACACGACGCGTTCCACGACAAATTGTGCAAATTTCATCTTCGCCGCCGCTGAAAAGAAACTCCTCCGTGTGATTGTTGAACACGTCCTAATTTGATAAAGAGCCAAGTGCGGGAAATGAGAGGGTAGTGTGTTTGTCTCAAGGGTTGTGGTGGGGTAAATATAGCAACAAGACAGCACCAGTTGATATGAAGGATTCCATGGTGTCGAGTGCTGTTGTGTCTCACCAGGCTGCGATGATCTCTGCATGTGTGTGTGTTAGAGTTTTACTCACATGCATTTGGATTCATGTGTCCACTGCTGTTGTCTTTCCAATTGATTAATATAATTGCCCTTCCCCTGACTCATCCAGCTCTGTGTGCAGCAATCCCTGAGTAAGAGACCATGAGTTAAAGCAGGGGAGCAAGTGAGTGGGATATAGGCTGCATGGCTGGCTCCTGGCTGGCTGCATGGGTGTGTGTGTGTGTATGTGTGTGTGTCTTAAGAGTGTGTTGAGAGGAGATTGTGAGCGCTGGTAAAGTCTCCATGTCTAATCAGAACACTTCAGTGTCCCAGTTTCATTGTCTCCAGGGCCCTCCAAGTCAGCACTAGGCCTCAGGACGTGCTGATAGCTGTCGGACCACTCCAGCAAAGTTGACTTTGCACTTTGACATGCAGAAAGGAGGAAAAATGACTCCATTTGAATAAAAAAAAAAAGCTTTTTTGTTGCTCTGATGATGAAAAAAAAGAACTTGTAACCCTTTTAGTTACATATATATACACTGATTTCCCAGATTCGTGTAACCTGTGTGGCTCTAGTCAAAAAGAAGGGCGCGCCCCCGCCTCATGGTTCAATTCCAACGCAGGACGTCATGCGCGCGCCCGCGGGCTAAGCAGCAGTTCCGTCCCCACTGCCACGCTTTTTATTTATTTCTTTTTTCTACTGGCGAGGCGCCCAATCAATAATTCAATAGTTTTTGGCGTCTGAATCCTGTCCCCAAAACGCCGCGGCACACAAACACTGCAGTCTCCTGTGCAGACACGGAGGGATCAGGATTAATTAATAGCTGCAGACATTGTGTTTTGCGTGGAAATATCGGAAGAGTAATGCGACCTGCACTCCTGTAATTATAGGCTCCCGTGTCAGGTGTTTATTAAATGTTCAATAAGAGGCGGTRAAGATGTCAGCAAATGAATCAGGAGAATTTGCGAGGTGAGCATTTTTTTTATTTTTTTTGTATTCTCGTTTCTATTTCTGTGTCAAACTTCTGGTCAGAATAAAGCTGGAAACATGTGCAAACAGACTGTAAAAT